GGGAGGCTAGATCTAGAGTTTGGAGTTGTAGATTTTCCTTAAAACATCTGAATAAGAATATATACTGAATGGACTCGCCGAGTCAATGAGCTGATTCGACGAGTTGGCTAGGGTTTTCCTCGATGAGTATGGACATAAGTAACTCGGCGAGTTGATAAGACAACTTGACGAGTTAAGTTGGATTTTCGCGACATTCCAGAGGAAACGAGGGGACTCAACGAGTCGTATAGATGCACTCGGCGAGTTGGATCAACATGGACTGTTGACTTTCATTGACTTTAGGGTTAGTCAAGACAGGGATTATGGGGACCATGGAGGGGTAAAATGGTCTTTTACCCATTCCAAGAGTTTGAGAGAGAAAATAACTTAGTTTATTTAGAGTCGTGATTTAAGTGTTAATTAGAGATAATTATCCTATGTGTTAGGTGGAGGCTAGTTCGAGATTCGTGTACGAGGTTAATTGCTTGCTTGCTTATGAGGTGAGTCTTCTCACTATACTTACCTAGAATGGTAATCTTTGTGTGACCGAAGGGTCTTATGTGCTTATATTGAGTATTGTGATATCCTGCATTATGTATTTGTGATTTATGATTTGTATTATTTTGAGCTTACTGAGTTAGGATCGGAGGGTCCACCCGAGTCGTAGGACTTGAGGGTCCCATTAAGACACGTTGATCGGAGGGTCTTATTTGAGCATAGCCATGAGATGCTAAAGATATATGTGTGGTATTTTGGGGAACTCACTAAGCTTCATGCTTACCGTGTTATGTGTTATGTGTTTCAGGTACTTTTCAGGATCACGGAAAGGCACCGGCTTGATTATACACACACGAGTTAGAGATATGTTTTGGAGGATCATGGATTGTGTTTTAACCAATTTATAAACATGTGTTTTTGATAACTTGATATTTTTGGGAATTTTTGTGATTCTGTAAATGTGATTAATGTGATTTTAAATGAAAATGTTGTTTGAAAATTTACAGTGTTACATTATTTCCCAAAACCCATCCATCTTCATATCCAAGAATCCATACAAAACTACTTATTAAAATCAAATGTTACACCTTTGTGTGTGTGTGTGTGTTGTTATGTTTTTGGAGCTTTTGGTGATCCTTGAAAAAAAGTTAGTCATTTAGTGCCAATATGAGGTTTCTCCAATGAAAATCCAACCTTCTCACTTGTTTCTAGACCATTGTACATAACAAAGATTCCTAAGGCTTTTGGTTAATTTTTTGTCATTTTTAGTCCATTTGGCTTGATGTTCTTGGAGTTTGGGAAACTTTGGAACCTTAGACTTGTTATGGAATGATTTTTGGACTTTTAATGGTGGAAATTGGAGTGTGCATGGACTCTTTTTGAGCCATGCACACGATTTTGGTCATTTTGGACTCCTTTAGAGTTAGGCTTTGTCATTATTTTTTATTAAGTCTTAGATCTGGAAAAAGTTGGAAACTTTATCCATTAAGACCCTTGTTTGTTTCATATATGGAAGTATGAGCCTTGGTCTTAAAGGATTAAGTTCTTAATGGAAAGGTGACTTATGCCTCGAAAACATGACGCAATCAAGGAAGGATCACGACACGAGTTTTGGAACTGGGTGGTGACTACCTTATCACATAGTGATTGCAACGTGGCCAGAAGTTGGGTCATAGCGCATGATCGTTCATTGTTGATTTTGACCCTTTGACCCTTTGACCATTAACTTTTTAACTAGTTTTATTTTTAGTCAAACTTTTCTAAACTTGAATGATAGAGTTAGGTTTGGCCTCTGTCTAATTTAGGTGGTATTAGTAGTTGATCTCTTTAAGGATTCACATATGTATGATATTCAGTTCTTCTTTCAAGTGAGTTTTTTCAATATACTATGTGTGACAATCTATATATCCTTTGTGTGATATGATGTAGTTGTATTGTTAGTATTCTTGGATTAGATGTCTAAGCTAATAACTAAATTAATATAGTCGTGAATTATTAGCAAAGTTCGTTTAGGTTGCCCTCAAACCTAGTAATTGAAAAGGATGACTTTTGGAGAGAGAGAGAGAGAGAGAGAGAGGGGAGAGAGAGAGAGAGAGAAGAGAGAGAGAGAGAGAGAGAGAGAGAGAAAGAGAGAAAAAGAGATAGAAAGAGAGAGAGAGAGAGAGAGAGAGAGAGAGAGAGAAAGAGATAGAGAGACTGGTTTATTAATTTATTATGTGATCAATAAATTAATTAGAAATCAAAATGAATTTATTAATATGTTTTGAAAATAATATATTAATTAGAAATTGTATTGTTTAATTAATAATTAATCAAAAATTAATTAGAATTAGTTTTGGGATTAATTGGATTAATTAAAAGTACAATGATTGTTTGGTTATTTATTGAAAGTTGAAGCAGGAAGGATCTAGAATCCCACGGGATTGGGTGGGATGAAAATTGGGTAGGAATAGCCTAGAATTTTCGTCCATAGGGTTAGGATAAGAAGATAAGGCAGCTTGATTATTATATTAATTAATCTAGGTCTTATCCCAAAAACCCTAGATATGGCCCAAAGTTTCCTTCAACTATATAAACACATCCCTAGCTTCATAATTTATTCACTCCTTTATAACAAGCCAAGGCTGAGATTTTGAGCTCCCCTATCCTCTCTCTTTAAGGCTCCTTGTTACTAGGGTTGGGTGTGAACCATCAAATGCATGAGATTTATGGTGCTAGCTTCCAAACAATTTCAAGAAAGGTTTTTGTTTTGATTATCTACTAGCATAATCAAAAGGTATGTTTTCTATACTCTTTCATTAATTTCGAAAATACTAGGGTAACAATAGGGTTCTTGATATTCAAATTGATTGTTGCATTCAATACTGAAAACTAAGATTCTTAGGGTGTATGCATACTTAAAGTTTTTTATTTTTCCACCTAAAATATGATTTTTGTTATTTATAAAACTCATCAAGTATGTGATTAAACAAGTAGATTAGAATAGTCTTTTGTATATTTATTATTTGATTATATGATGCGTTTGTGGGTTATGATTGAGGGGTTGATGGTGGAACAATAAAGAGTGTTGGGAGGAGTAGGTTCATGAACCCACTCAACTCGTATCATGTATGGTACCACAAAGATAGAACGGTGTTCATGAATGATAACATATCCAACCAAATAAATTTTTCACATAGACTTTTTTTAAAAACAAATTTGGTTCATAACATTTTGGATATATAATTTGAGATTAATAAAATTTTGTCTCATATTATTTTTTGAATCATATAATTTAAATCATAAAAGATACAAGTATAGATATTAATGATTTTGAATCATAATATTTATCATAACAAATTAAGAATCATAAACCTATTAAATTATAATTTTTTTATCATAAATATTTTGAATTATCTTATTTTGGATCATAGAATTTTTAATATTTTTTTTGAACATACAATGGTATAAAATAAATGTGATATCTAAACTACTTAATTTTTGAAAAAAAAAATCTCTGTGTAAAATCATAATATATTGTACATAAGAACCTTATATATATATATATATATATATATATATATATATATATATATATATATATATATATATATATATATATATATATATATATATATATATATATAGGTTCAGGTTCATTTGAAACCATTCTAATTTTGTGAGATCGTGAGACCAAATCTAAAAATAATTTTAAAATGCAAAATAAATGGAAAAATCTAAAAATTCTTTTTTTAAATATTATTTTCGTAACTTGAATTAACTAAAAAAAATATATAAAAAAATTCTATTTTTTTTTTTGAAAAATACGTGAAATATTCTAAATACAATATTACACTGTACATATTCTAAAAATAATTTTAAAATGCAAAATAAATGGAAAAATCAAAAAATTCTTTTTTTAAATATTATTTTCGGAACTTGAATTAACTAAAAAAAATTTAAAAAAAAAAGTAAAAAATAATAAATAAAAAAAATGTGTCTCACGGTCTCACAAAATTAGGTTGTCTCACATGAACATATATATATATATATATATATATATATATATATATGTGTGTGTGTGTGTGTGTGTGTGTGTGTGTGCAGGCCCGTCCCAGAGGGTGGGCGATAGGAGCGACCGTCCAGGGCCCATCTTTCAAAAGGGTCCAAATTTTTTTTATGGAAATGGTTATATTTAGAAGATAACACAGGTAATTTTCTTTCAATTATTGAGTTATTATAAAAAACTTGATGACATTTATGTATTTTAGGGGCCTATTTTTTTCTCTCGCCCTGGGCCCAAAATATGTTTGGAACGGCCCTGTGTGTGTGTGTGAGAGTAAAAAAAAAAAAAAAAAAAAAAACCTTTATTTTTATTTAAATTTGAAGACGATTTTTTTGATTATATTTTTATAAATAAAAATGATTTTAATTAGAATGTGGTCTTTAAAAAAATAAAAAATAAAATAAAATAAAAACTTTTTGTATTCATTACATATTCTTGACATTTGGAGATAACTTTAGTTTTTTTTATTATTAGAAAATTAAACATTTTTAAGTTATTCTTCAAACATTCTATGCTTATTTTGTATATATATTCAAATTTTAAAAACTTCCATTTCTACAAAAAGAAAATAATAATAATAGTTATTAAAAAAAAATGTGCATGGAAAAAAAACAATCAATTAACAAAATAAACATATAGCATTGAATGTGGGCTGGAGCGCAAAGTAACCTAAAATATTCGATTTTTTTTTTTACTTTTTTACCCTGTAAACATTTTTTACATCTTTTGTAAAATTTCAAAATCTCACAAACAATGACCAAATATCATGTCATCGTCTCATAATATGTTATATGATAAATTCAACTGAATATGACGAAATTTTTATTCCAACGGCTCTTACCGTTTTTGTAGATGTTATCCGACCCTAGTTGTAGTAACTTAGTTGGGTTTTAATCCAATTGGTTGTGATTATTTTCAGTTCCGTTTATTAATTGGTGGTAGTATTTTTCCAACAAAGATTTAGCAAGCTTTTGAGAACATGAATTGGTTGGTAGGTTGGTTGGTTGGTTGGTTAGTAATTGTGATATCAGTAATTCCATGCAAACATCTTGTGAAGCCTCCTCCCTCCCTCCCTCTTTACTCCGTCTCATGTGATTGCCTTAATGTCTTTCCAACCAATGTATCTATCTATATCTCAACAGTCAACAACACCACCTGTACCTCCCTCCATTGTGTGATGAAAGACCTGTCGTTCCTTGGCCTCCACAACTCCCTTGGTTTGAAGATGAACAAGGGGTTGAAGAACCTGTGCACGGGGGACACCTCCACCTCCACTCTGAAGCAGCAAAAGTCTCCTCCCATGGCCGGGGGAAACAGCCAGCAGCAGGCGACACTGGAGGAGATGATCATGCGGTTGGACTTGGAGGAGAAAATGGCAGCAAGAGCAAAGCTACAGGAAGAGCATAGGATGTCGTGTGTCAACAGCTCAGACATCTTACGGTGTGCCCGAAACGCACTGAATCAGTACCCGAGGTTTTCTCTTGATGGGAAGGACGCCATGTATCGATCTTCCTTTCGAAACCCAACATCCGTAGCAGTGGATCTGAGAAGCTGTTTGCCTGCAAAAGTTGCAGGGGAGAGGGTCATCTGGTGCACACCGGGTCCCGTGGGTCGCCTGATGGGACTCGATGCAATGCCAATTCCTGTAAGACTAAAGTTAAACCGCAGGATCAACTCCTGTTGTATTCTCAGGAACCACAAAAATCTCCGCAAAACATGTTTCCATCACCATCTTCCTCTTCCTCTTGGCCTTGCTTCTTCTTCCACCGCCGCCGGATGCTCTGTCATGAAGCCGGTACGCGATCAACCGGGCTGGCCCATGCGTCGCTTTATCTAGGACTTTACATTCTAGTGCTAAATCTAAATGTTTTTTTGTTTTTTTTCAATTGCAAAAGATGTAGGTTCACAGTTGACTACACAAACAGTTGCAACATTTGCTCAAATCAATCAATCAATCAATCATCATCCGTTTTCATCCTTGCACACTCAATTATATATATCTCAACAAAAAGCAAGATGCCAAAATACTACCAAACTTAAATCTAATACTCCATAAATGAATTACATATAAGTCAAAAATATATATATACCCACAGTTTGATCATGCATAGATTTGCAAAGGAAAGAAAGATGAAGTACCTATATGCTATATATAAGTAATAACGCAGCGACTGGCTTAGCTGTTCCTTATGGAGATGGAGATGGGTGTCCGAGGGGGCGAAGGTGAAAGCATTCGTTGAGAAGATGCATGGAGGCCAAGGGGCTTGTTTGTAATTGTAACCAAAGGAGCAGAGAAGGCAGGTTTTAAAGGCGGTTTGACTTTTATAGAGGCTAAGTTTGCAGGAGGTCTGGGGAGCTCATGGAGTTCACTGATTTTAGGTGATGAAACAAAACTGTTACTATTAGTATTAGTATTACCACCGGATAGTTTTGTAGTTGAGGCCAATGGTGTGTGTGTGATAGGAATAGGACCACTCACAGTCGCAGATAAAGGAGTCCTGTTTCTACTACTACTACTTCCAGCCAAAGGACCAGAGAAAGCATATATTTTGATTTTTTTGGCACTAACACTTGGATGCTGCTCAATTTGACTTGCTGTTGGAGAGGGTAGCGGAGTGGGTTTGCTGAGTACTGATGGATGAATTGGTCCTGAGCTGCTGCTGCTGGATACTAAAGGTGATGAATGCCACAAATTATTGTTATTATTATTTGTTTTTTGTGATGTTGGCGTTGGGAGAACATATGTATTCAGCTTTCGAGCAGATGACTGCCTCATCTGTCTTGGGTCCCGCTCCATATTCATATTACTGCTCGCAGCAGAAGCAGAAAGCGGTGCTGATTTGCATTTGCTGCCTGCATTCACCTCTACACCAAATGTAGATGAGCTCCACAGGGGTTTCCTCTGCTCCGCCATGTTTGCCTTTACTGCAACTTGTGGAAAGGTAATGTCTGCTGCGCTATCCAACTGCGTATTGTAGAAAGAAAAAAACAAACAAACAGGTTTGGTGAGAGAGAGAAAAAAAAAAAAAAAAAACAACCAACAACAGCCTGTAATTAGAGAAGCATCAGATTCACCTCCATGGAGTTTTCTGAGCTAGAAGCTTCATTTTTCGGATCGCCCCTCTGGTACTCAAAGCTCAATTCACCATCTTGATGCATGTCTTCTTCGCTGTCATCTTCAGTGTCATCATCAGTAAGAAAAACAGAGTTTCTATCATCGTCATCGGCATCGTCGTCTTCTTCTTCTTCAAGGCCGCTGAACTGGTAATCGATATGCTGCTGTTGGGTCACTAACATAACATGCGGCTCGATCGCTTCAAGAGATCTGAGAGACTTCCTGAAAAAACACATCTGAGCAGCATGGTGGCGAGCAGCCTGTGTTAGAAGGCTACGGGACTGACCCTTTTTCAAAGACTTCATGCGGAAAACAAATAAAGTGGCGTCCTCATCAAATTCTTCTTGAGCTGCTCGCAGCTGATTGGAAGACACGTATTCTCCTCCTGATTTTCTCTTGTCTTTGTGTCGTATTTTCATCTCATCATACGTCATCCTGGTACAATTATTATCCATACAATCGCAATAGCTTACTATACATTCTTTTTCTTTTCACAAACGTTAAACATTTAAGTTTGAATGAATAAGTTTCAGAATCAAACCTCTTCTCGTCGCACTGCCTTTTCATTTCCTGAAACAAAAATCATCAGCATTCAGATAGCTAGCCTACCCTTTTCATGTCATAAAAAATCAACTACAAGTCTACAAACCTCAACAACACGCAATTCACTGAGAAGGGACTCTGAAGGGGCTGTGATTGTGCGAGAAATATGTGCACGCTGAAAAAGGAACATCTTGCAACCGTCACTAAAAATTCTATGATCCTAAAATCACTAAATAGCAACTCACATAATTATCCACCAGCTTCTGGATTTCAAACTGCACCTTTCCCAGCATTAGCAAGACTCTACCTGCAAAATCATTGGGTTTTAGGATTTTAGAATATAATGAAGCTCATAAGCTTCAAACTCACCGCTGTCTTCATCATCGTTTAATGAGGTTTTTTCGAGAAGACAATCTCCCATTTCCCGTAATGATTCCGAGAACTCTGAAACAGATTATCAGCATCACGTATCAATCCACGCATAATTTTTATTTGTTCAGAAAAGGTGTCAGTCAAATACCGTAAGCACTGTTCGCTGTGGCTGCTGCTGCAGAAAGTAAACTGTCATAGCAATCTTTCATGTCATGCATGTCCTGCAAAACACAAAAATAGTAAAGAAATCATAATAATCTACAATCGCAATTATACGTTTGCTTCGCCAATTTACGATACGAGATATTGATCTTAATAAGGCTGTTCCTTAATTTTAGCTTTCAGCATAGACTAAGATAATCGATGAAGCCGTTGACTGAAAGTCAATATCAAGTCTGAATAAGATCTAATTCAATTACAAAAAGCCTAGCATAAATTTATGATCGACGAGCACTAAAAACTAGCCCCTTTGGAAAATCAATTGATAAAAACCTAAAAACGAATTGCGAGGGGAAAACGGAAATTATCCTCAAAATCAAAATTTGTTGGTTTGAAATTCCTATCGACGGAAAGCGAAAATAGAAATTAAACCTGGGAAGCCTGCGAAAGCTCATCCAATTGAGCGGGAGGTCGATGAGTATTATGCCGGTGTAGCCCTAACCCACGCAGTTTTTTAAAGGGAGTTTTCATTTGTTGTGTTGGGTGAATGAATGGAAAATTATGCAGAGATAATGGGGTACAGGTTTTCTGCAAAGATTGGCATAAAATTATGGAGGGGGGCAAATGAAGAAGATGATGATCGTGAATTCAAAGGTCAAAAGTCAAAGGGAGAGATCAAATGCGATGTTTGTTCAACTGTCGATCGTCATCTTAACTTCATGTTGAGGAGAAGTCGCCTGTGTTTGTCACGCTAACGCGCAATACTTCACTATTCGTCACGTAATTTGGAAATTGTTTTTTTATGAATATATGGTTAACTACCAAAAAAAATTAAAAATTAAAACGGAGATATTAACAAAAATGATAATTTCTTTGTTAGTATATCATAAAATAAATAAATAAATGAATAAATAAAACTAATTTTTTGCGTTTTTAGATGAGTTGTTTCGGACATGAGGTCGGACGGATCCTACCCATTTATGTGGTCTTATAAAAGGGAATCTTACACGTGGTACCCATCAAGATTCTCTAAAAAAAAAACTAGCATTGATTTGTATTTCATTAAGCATAAAGTGTACCATGTTAGTTTTACATTTTATATTTTATGTTAGTACGACCTACTTTAATAAAAGAGTATTATTATAGCTACGTGTCAATTGATCCGCTCCTCTCTAAATTTTTTTCTCGTCCAAAAGTTTGCAAAGTGATCTTAATATGCTCTCTTAACAGAGGAATGTTCCTACCTTGCAAATACATATTTAAGTAGTTGTAATTTTACAAATATATGTTTTATTTAATATAAAAATAATGTTGCTGTTAAATTGATATAATATATTAATTGTTTTGAATTATATGATAATATATACATCTATTATAACTGCATAAGTTCAACTGTTTGAATGACTTTTACCCGCGAGTTACTCATTAATAAAATTATATATAATATATGGTTTAATGTTATTTTCTAGTTGTTGTTATTGTTAATTAATTTTTTAAAATTTATTTGTTTAACGTTTTAATTTCAGTATATTTTGGTAAGGAGTCAGAGAGAGGGGAGAATTTCGGTCTGAGTGGAGCAATCAATCGATAGAGGAGATGTCACCTTCTATGACCTGAGTGGTGTTATTTATGTTCGTGTGTGAAACATGAGAGGCATGATGTTTAAGTTTTGGGTTTGGGGGTAAACCCTGCAGGTTGTCATTGATGATGATTTTCCCTCTAGAGTATCAGGTAGCATGTGTGCCGCGAGGCAGTGATTATCATGAAAGATAGTCAGTTAGGACTGAGATAGTCGAGGACCACGTTACACCTATTTGAGTATAATAGGGCGTATTGTAGTGGTATCAGTGGGGAGTCCAGTAGAATTTATCAGAGCAGTGGTTTTCGATCTATGTTGGGTATTGAATATGGGAGTAGGTCCCTGTTCTTGGGACGATCCATGTGTTGGATCATTGGTTGATGAATCGAGGTGGGGGAGTATGATGATTCGTGGTTCAGTCTATGGGTCAGTGATGTTATTGGACAGTTGAGTTGTTTGGTATGTTGGATTAGTGTCTAAGTCCATAACTATTTTGGTATGTACTTGACCCGATGGTGCATGGTCCTTTTGGGTTGCCTTCACCAAAGCAACTTGATTGGAGAAATAAATAAAGAGAGAGAGGTTATTATGATTTATTAATATGTTATAAGAATAATATATATTAAAGGAGAAATCATATTTGTTTAATTAATATTGGTCAATAATTAATTATGAATTAATTTTGTGATCAAGTGTAATTAATTAAACTAGAGGGGCTGATTTGTAATTATGTGATAGTTACAAAATAAGGTAAGGATTATCTTATTATTAGGGTGAATGAATTTGAGGTGATAAGGCCTTAGAATTCGACTATGATAAGGATTCAAAGATTATCTTATGGGTTGCTTTGTGGATAAGCATCTAGATAAGGATAATGACTGAAACCCTATCTGAACACCTATATAAACACCCCTTGGCACATGAATTCGTGTATCCCTTCCCAAGAAGTCCTAAGGACGAATTCGAACCTCTCTCCTCTCTCTCTTTATACCTTCTCCATTTGCTTATGGTGTTTGTGAACCATTATAGGAGTGACACTTGTGACTCTAAGCATTCCAAAGTCAATTCAAGGAGGAATTAGGATTTTTGTTGCTATATAACAATCAAGGTATGTTCTTAAACCTTATTATATG